GTACCWACCTAACTTATTATATCTACTACCTACTATACATAATTTATTCCAAAACAATAAGATGTTATCGAATAATATAATAGTTYGAAACATTGCATTATAATTATTGTATTAACGAGGAAATGTTACGTAATATAATTCAACATTTCCTCCATTCGGTATAATAATCGGATCTAATTTGATCCAAATACGTCTTCTTCGCAAACTTCATATTATGTTGGATGGCATTATAATTATATTAATATATTGACGTCCCGATACAGAAACTATCCCAGTAAAAGTCGAGCCGAGTTTGAGGGAACGCGGTCATTAAATCAAAGTTAATAATATTTTTCCGGGAGAGGGTAAAAATATTTACATAATATTATTATGYTGTTATGCATCAAAACATGAATTTTGCATAATATAAAACATAATAATAACCTACGYGCGCGTATACCACCATGGGCACCATGTATGTATTGTACAGGTACGTAATCTGAGTTTAGAGTCATATACAGCGTGATGGTGCGGTCGTATTATTTGTAACATATAATGTTATACGAAACATGTTTATCGCTCTGTTATATTATAATACGTATACCTAGGTACTATGATTATGAAATTTACGAATACTGAACACAATAAAATACAGTGAACACCGATTAGTGCAGCTATAGTTATCCATTTATAAAATATCATAATATACAACACGTCGTATATGACTCGTCGTTCGAATTATAGGGATATATCGTTCCGGTTAAAATACTGTTGTATATAATAATATATTATGTTTGTCAGCTCCAGATTACACTCTTGTAATGTCTATATATACGAATCCACGATGTGTGCGTGCGTATTTTTTACTTTTGCATGGAGGCACGTAGCATGCGATGCGTACGCTGCAGGGTCCACGTATAAATCCTTATTAGTAGGGATTCCAACCCTGCTGGAATGTAATTTAATTTAAAGCTTATTTAACTCTACACGGCTAAATTCGGGATCATCATAATGTAACGAACGATCTTTCCGGAGTTTAATTCCAAATGATTATGTTTCGGTTTCTTTTTGCGTTTTTCAAAAACCGCGTATAGGCAGGTGACTGCAGTCCCGAACCCGGGCACGCACCGCGCCGCCAATAAAACATACGATCCGTTGCGATTGGCACGAACGCTCATCGCGTAATATTATTACTATGGTATAGGGGGGAGGGAGGCATTTTTTTCACGGGGGGGAAAATTGTTTTCTTGTAATTATCGTTTAACGGGGTTGTTTATAGGGGAATAAATAGTTTCGAGATARTAATTTAATCTATCCCAACGATACATATACCTTCCTATACGTATGTATACATATATGAAATATAACAACATTTAAAAAAAAGTCAAAGGTATTTTAATAATTTCAACCATGATGGTTAAACACGTCATGATATAGACACACGGAGAGCGACATTTTCTYAGGATTCCAATAACTACATGCTTTACCCTATTACTGTTTATTTAATTTATTTAAAATAATAATAATAATAGCTCTTTGCTACGGCATTACACATTTATGATTCACTAATAATTAGCCATAAACACGATATAGGTATATAATAATATGTGAATGCCTCCAATGCACATACCAAATTGGCACTCGGATCCGATGTGGAGACCACCACACTGATTTTAAAGCTTTTAAAATTACCAAATAATTGTACAACTAAATATAACAGAAAAGAGAAAAAATGACTATAGGATCTATTTCCACCGATGTTAATAAAGAACTATACAAAAAAAAACATGTGAATTATTATATGTCTGCACAATGCAATATGAAATTGAATGAGATAATAAAATAAATAAATGTGTTATTGTTTAGATAAATATAGGCGCGCAGTCGGGTTCAGTAAGACTAAAATAAAGATATAATATACATTATTATATACATATAGGTATTATATAATATAACATTATATATAAGTCGGGCGCAGCTTGTGCGTAATATTAATGTAGATAGGTACCTACGAAAGAAACATTATCCGCAAATAGTATGCGCATAATACGCATATTATAATATCTATGCTACCTACAAAACAGCATATATATATATAGGTAGGTAGTGCATATACGAGGCTCTGCAGAAAAATTGATTTCGTTCCTTTTCGCTTTCCCCTCTTTTGGCCGCCACCGTCCTTTGTCCCTGCCGGTGCACGCGCATAAGTATAGGTAATATAATATGGTAATATCGCCTGCTGGGTCGGCGCGAAATAGTGCGACGGGTTGGTATTAGTAATAGTGTAGCAATAGGGGTAGGAGATGGCCGGTTTTTAGGTGGGCAAACGTTCTGACTTCGACATCAGCCAATTTTATTGCAAAAAATGCGAAATTTGCCGTTTTAATTAATATCAATACGACCGCACCACTCCACGCCCTCTACGACCACCACCACTCGGTTCGCAGCAGCAGCAGCAGCAGGGGGGGGGCATGATTCTATAATAATCAATAATCATTTCTATAAGCCAATTTGTATATTTTATTTGTAATATAAAAACGCGTTCGATAGCGAAAGCGATAATAATAATAAATACATGTGATATCTATCATGAGCTCTACTTGAGAAATTTTCACGAGAGGGAAAACATTATTTTGTGTCAATATACCGTTTACCCATTGGCCAGATGTATTATACTTAGTCTGTGTAAATTATGACATGATTTATAATCTAAAATTATTCTTTACTGCAACATGTAAAATTAAATTGCATGATGGAAAAAGCTGGGTGAAATGAGGGAATGTCCAATAAAAAGGTTCTGCATTTCTACATTCTGCTAATTATACTTTATGTTTAAATAATATAGGTAGAATTTGATTCCGAATTCCATGCATAACATCATAAATATATATAATGTAATTATCATATATTGCCTATATCATAATAAATTTAATACTAAATAATTAAATGTGATTAATGATTAAATTAATTCCTAACAGTATTAAAAATGTCTATCCAACATAATCTCGCAACTTTCTAATATTAAAATTTATAATGTACATATTTTGTCAATTGAAGTGATCTTTCTTTTTCTGTTGTATCTGTATGTTAAACTTATCAATAATTGTATTAAAATTACGATTTTAAAAGTTGTTTCAATATGAAAAATTATGCCAACAACTCTTGTTTGGCTAATGGTATTTGTAGTAAATGTTTTGAAAGGACATGGAGTTGAAAGCGAATGTTCACTTAGAGTATAAAACTCACTGGAATAGATAGAACAATTTTATAAATAGAGTATAATGTTATATAATATATCGTTAAATGAGCAATTAAGTGTTTTTCAAATACAAATTTAAACGGATTAAAAATTCTCATTAATAAAAGATGATGAAAATATTTTCCCAAATAGTTTTAATCCTGTATTTGAGTCATCGAAGTCAGTAGTGTTGGTGTTACAAATTTTTAAAATACCTCTGGAAGTTAAAGTTTTCCCGTGATTTTGTTTTTACTCGGGAATTATGATAAGAGACTAAATTTTGTTATGATGATGTATGGTAATGGGAAACGGCAATGATTATTAATTTCATTTTTTCGGATTTTTCCTATACGTTTAATCGTTTAAAATATTATATCTATTTTTTGTTGATAAAACAGCCTTTTCAACAGTAATTTTTTAATCATTTTACTAAATACCAAACTTTGAATTTTAAGTTTGGGACAGTTACCATTCTCGCCTCACAGTTTACGCCTATGGGGATACCTATTTGAGTATTCTCAGTCCTCCGGATTGTTTTTATAGTATTATTAGTATTAATAACTATAACCTAAATAATATTGAATCGCTATATTATTATGATATCGTATATTATTTATACAAGTCGATTGTCAATACACATACCTACTATATTAATGATTATCATTGTTACACAGTTGACTTAGATATTAATAACAATATGTTGTATAGTTGGCGTTGATTAATACCACTGTAAAACATCGTAGCGGAGAGTTTCAATTTAAAATCATTCATATATGCACATCATATTGTTATACGTATATATTTCAATATTCGTATGTTCATTGTTCGCATAATATATCTCGAGAATGGAGTACACACTTTACACACCGTCCTACCGGCGGGTTTTTTTGAACTATACCCTGGTAACCCTATTCTTTATGAGCTGTTATATAACGTTTGAATTATGGAATTTGTGTTGGCCAAGTTGACAATACATAAATAGTAGATGGGATCTATTAAAAAAAAAAAAAAAAAACTGCAATTCGAATTGTAAATACTTACCTACTGAATCCCGAGCTTTTACGAATCACGGATGTCGAAGACTTTTCGAATTGCAGTAAGCTCGAGCATTGTACAAAATCACTATACGCAGATTTTAAGATTACTAGCTATTTCCCTAGGCGTAAGAAGGTGGGTGCATTATTCATAAGCGTACAAAATGTTTGGTTACATCTAGTCCCTTCGCATGTAGCGGGAAAGCAGCAGCAGTAAGCTCACGCCATAATATACAATCGCATAAAACAAATCAGCGATGGTACATGCCGCCATGACGGTACGGCAACTGCAGTACCTATTCTGTATAGAAAACCCGCGTTAATCTTAAGCTTAATACCCATATAATATAATATGCACATATAGTGTCACCGTCAAATATATATAAATTTAGATGTACACACACACACACACACACACACATGCATATAAATATTATAACCATACAGATTAGGTTAGCACTATAGCTTTAACAATATTGCACGCAGCATAATAAATCAGAACAATATGACGTTTATTCTGCCAAACAATTATTATTGTAATTATTATTACCGGCTATACAGTTGAATTTATACCGTTTTATACTTATTAAATTCTCAATTAAATAAGCAAAGAATACCTGGAGTATAATTGTGGTGAGATAACTAATAAGTTTTAATTTTAACACTATAATTACAGGTTTATTGATAGAATAATATGTAAAATCATTATTTTTGTAGGTATTATAAACTTTCATAAATCATGACAACGCTTAAGTAACTGATCGGTTGTGCATTAAATAATATATGCTTTTTGTTTTCGGCCCAATGGTTTGTCTGCTCATAATTCTATATAAACAAACAGTGTGATTGAAATAATATAAATTAATATGTTTTACTCTTCGSGGTTAGAGATTTTTTATAAATACAATATTTATAAATTAATAAATACATACCCAATATTTATTATGTTTTTGTAATTGCTTAAAGTAATTTTTTTAGTCCATACTGTTATCTTAGAATTCACCGGTTTAATGTACAATCCTATACCATTGATATCAGTTATAACTGGTTCAAATTTGTCTCCAACTATTTGTAGTACCTGTACAGTGTTATATTTAATATTACCCATTTTTTATTTTTTGTAGAGTTTCGACTAAGTACGAAAGTACCAACTACAGCTATAGGCAATATTTAAGCCTTACAAAGATGTTTTTTTTTCGATGGAACTTTTTGAAGTAAAAGGAGATCTCAAAAAAGTTTTGTACAACCCTATCTATCAATTGGGAATCAAAACTAGTTTGTTCTCTAAAGAAGAAGCTTTTTGAGATTTTCAACAGTTTTTGTAAGACCGTAACTTAAAGAAGATTGATATATAACGAAGTAATAAATTGATTTAAGCAAGTGTCGCTTGATCATAAGTTATCACCAAATACGATTGTTAATGATATTCAAAATTAAAAAATTATTATAATAATAATACGCAACTACAAATTAAAATGGAAAACAATATTGGTTCAACCTAAGGAGTTACTGATGAAAAAACAAATTACATATATCTAATAACAATGTAAAATATAATTAAATATGATTAGAGATGTAGGCTGACACATAATCATCTTCGTTTGGATTTGTTTTTCATATCATCAAAAAATTTGTCACTGATTGAAATTTAACACACCCATTACAGCGACCTACTCAGTGATGTGGTGCAGACAACATCTACTGCTCAACATGGCGAGCTCGCAGTTTTTTAAAAATTGTTTATTATTATTTTGAATTTTCTTGAAATTCATGACGTAATTATTATGATCATCTTAACTTTTAAGCCCACAAACTTTGAAACTATATTCAACTTATATTATTATTAATTATGTTATATTACATATTATATATCTTCAAAATGTTAAAGTCTCATACGTACCATATTATTCCATGTATTATGCAAATTGTGGTTATCTCTCAATATGATTATCCAACGCCCTGCATTTTCGTTACTTTTATGTTCCCATGCGGGTATGCTCTTTTCATTGAACACAAATAAACACATATTTAAAGATTTTACTGATGGTTGAATGATGTGATTGAGGACTCTAGGCACATACGATTGATTATTTTAATAAGATAGGGATACAGTTTTAAGTAGATAAATTTGATTAAAAAAAAAAAAATTAATATAAACTACAGTGTAATGTGATTTAATATTACCTGTGCAAAATAAGTATTAAAATAAGGAAATTCAGAGAGAGGATTTATATAAGGTCTAAGAATTCAAGAATATTGTCGAAGGCAATTTATGAATTCTATTTTACATTCGAATAGTGACTTTTTGTTCGAACCTGCAATAGGTACTATAAATTACTACTCCATCTATAATTTTTTTTTTTAATTTTTTTAATTTT